GCCGGCACTCGGAGCAGAGCCATATGACCTCTGGGCGTTCTCGATCGATCTGCTCCCAAAGATCCCGAATATCGCGACTCCGAGACGAATCCCATCCGGTCTTGAGCTCCAAGCTAGCCCGGGAGCCGAGAGTGCCTCCGAGGCGACCGACCTCGGGAGCGATACGCGGGGGAGGGAACACTTCCATGAATGAGACCTGGGGCCGGGTCGCAAGGGCCAGGGCCCCGTTCTCTTCGTCGCCGGGGCTAAACTGCTCCAGAGCACGCCTGACCTTGGAGGGACAGCTGACCTCGTGGTCGTCGTTCTATTGATCACCGTCCTGCCAGGTGAGGTCCCCCAGACCCGAGCAGCACTTCTTCCCAGCGTTCGAAGCGAATCGCACGGTGCGCCCTGAGCGCCGCGGGGGAACAGAAGACGGCCCGCAGGACCCTGACGACGAGGCGCTCGCCCTTTGACAGACGAGTCCTGGGGAGCCTCTAATGGGGGTCCTCTCGGGGTCTGTGTTTTCCTTTTCTGTCGAGACGGTCGGGGCCGTCGCGGAGTCTCGGGGAGGCAAGTCGCCGCTCATGGCGGCAAACGTGTAACATGTAATGATCTCGCTCAGATCGTGGTCGGTCTCCGGGACGATCTCCCACTCCTGGCCCCCTGTCTCCTCGAGGATGGGCGGCGTCGGCGTCGTCGTGGGCGTCTGGTCCACGCCTCCTTGACCGCTGCCGGAGCTGGGATCGCCCCCATGCCAGGGATCGGAGAATGACTCCCCAGGCTGAAGAATCCGAAGGGGTACTCCGTGGGCCGCGATCCCCGCCACTGCGTTGCCGATCTGCATCAGCATGTGGGCCAGCTGGTGGACTGAGGTCTTGACGTTGTTCAGCTGGCGGCCCATCCTGTCGACCTGGCCCTGGATGTCGTCGAGCCCCCCCAAAGGCCTCGAACGTGCCGAGGATGCGGTTGATGTGCGTGATACCCTGAAAGATCAGCAGGAGCCCCTCCTCGACCTGGCTCGGCGTATTCTGCACCGAGGTCACGACTTCGATCATTCGGTCCAGTGTCTCCTGCACCTTGCCGAAAGCTCGGAGATTCTCGGGCATCGAGTGAAGGTGAAACAGCAAGCCTTGGAGCAGCGCGCCGAGGGAGTTCACTGTGTTCAGCGCCGCGCTTCCTGCCCTGAAGCCTGGGTCCTCCTGTGGAATCTCCACCATCCTCTGGGCCGATCGAGCCGCCGATCTTGCTGCCTCTGCCGCGGAAGGCGGTGGCTCGGTCCCGCCGGGCGCAGCCTTGTTGCGCGGCGCCCAGACCAGCCGTTGCCCACGCGCAGTACATCGAGAACCAGAGCCATGCTGGTTGCCGTAGAACCTGATGTGGCTCTCTGGGTGGGAGCAGTCGTTGGCGCTGACTGGGGCCGCCGCCGCGGCCGCTGACGGCCCGGGCTTCGGCGGGGGCGTGCTCGGCACTGCTCCCGACGGGATCGGCCCCGATGACGGACGCGGCGCCTGAGCCTGCTCCTCCGCCGTCTGGGTCGCTGTCGTCGCGCCCGCATGTGTTCCTGGCGCGGGCCACTGCGCCGGCGCCGCCGTCGCCGCAGCTGCTGGAGCTGCTGCCGTCGGTACTCCTGGCAGGGGGTGCTGGCCGACCCAGCCCCGTGGGGGCAAGTGCGGCAACGGAGGTGGCGGCCCGGTGCCGAGAGGGATCTCTCCGGGGCCTGGCGCCGTGCGGTTCTCCGCTGCTGCTGGGGTCACTCGGCGGCTGCTTCGGCTCGGGGCTGTGTCCATCGAGTGCTGCTCCCCGTGGTCGAGATGCACCGGCTCGGCTGGCTGGAGAGCCATGGGCGGGCCCGATGCCATCGGCAGTCCCTCGATCTGCGTCTCGGAGCTGATGCTGCTCTCGACCTCGGAGCGGGGTTCGGCAGCGCCGCCGCCGCCTCGGTTCAGCAACGCCTCGGTCGCTGCCTTGGCTCCTGGCGACTTGCGGACCCCAGATCCGCCTCGCCGCGATGCCATGCACAGGGCGGCCCAGAGCATGCGGGGCAGCATCGGTGCTGCAGGTGTCGAACGATCTGGGGATTCTGGAAACGACAGAGCCCCCTAGCTGGGTTCAGCCTAGACGGCTTCGGATTAGTCCCCTCCTAACAGTGTCCACCTGCCCCGTTGGGGTCGGGGCACTCGTTTCACCTTAGCATGTGACCTGAGACGCTGAGCCCGTGACTCCACCTCTTCTTTGATCTCCTCGACCTCCTCTGTCGTGACCTCCTTGGGGCCTCTCGTGAGCAGCTTGGGTTCCCTGAAGCTCGAGGGGTTCTTCTTGGGGGGCCTGTCGAGGTCCTGCGAGACGAGAGTGTGGTCTGGGTCCGGTAGCTGGAAGCCCTTGAGGTCGCTCGGGTACTTCGGGTTCAGTAACTGCAGCCCCTCGTCGAGCCTCTTGAGACCCAGAATTTGAAATGCCCGTGGTAGGCTGAGGATGCTGAACATGATGGCGATGACAAAGAGGATGAGAGGGATGTAACTTGCCAGCGCTCCTGGGTCCAGCATCTCGGGAGCTGAATCTGCCAAGCGAAACGAGCCTGGTGAAAGAAAAGGGTATCGTCGGAGGGCCGAATCCGGAGCCTCCGGCAGCTCCGACAGCGGAATGATGATGTCTACCATCCGGTGTCCTGAGCTGAGCCTGGTCATGTCGACCTTGGCGCCGATCGTCTCGGCGGTCAGCGCGCTGCGAGGAAGGTCGATGACACTCCCTAGAAATTCCAAAAGCTTGACGCTGAGGATGTGGGGCACCCGGTCGCGTAGGACCGTCGTCTCTATGATCCCGAGCACGCCTCCTAGCAGCAAGGGATAGAGCGCTACGTTGATCACTTTCGCCGGTCCCCCGACGCCGTGGGCAGCCATGGTCGGCCCCATCTCCTCCGGAATGACCGCGTGGCGCAGGCCCGCGTCGGCCAGCGCCTGTGACTCTCGATTGAGCGCTGTCAGGTGGGAAGACCCGGCCTCCAGCTCGGTCTCGTCGTTCTCCCAGGAAGCGAGGGTGGCCTGCGACGCAAAGCTCGTGTCCGCGCAGCCGTCGAACATGTAGGCAGAACGCTTCTGCCGATCCCGAGGCGCCCGGTCCGTGTTCGGGCGCTCGTTTCCCCAGTGCCCCTTCTCGTTGCAGATGCGGCAGCGCGAGATCTTCATCAGCTGCTCCTTGCTCAGGCGGGGGCGGCGCCCCCTGCCCTTGCCGCCGGCCTTCCCGCCGAGCTTGCCTCCGCGACCGCGTGCTGCTGTCCTGCCGCCGGCGTCCCGCCGCAGACCGAAGTACTCGCGGTCCTTCTTCGCAGCTCTCTTGAGTTCTTTGTTTTGCTTCCACGTCCTGGTGTTGGGCCTGTCCTCGATGGCGGCCAAAACCTCGGAGACCTCATCTTCGTTCAAATCGAGATCCTCGATCTCCGCGATCAGCGCCTCGTCAGCCTCGTCGTCTGTGCTGCCGTCTTCGTCATCGTAGTAGTCGAGCTCTTCCTGTTCTTCCGCACCGACCTCGGACCTACCGAGACCGGGAGGTTGAGGGAGGGAGGGGTGAGAAGACTGAAAAGCATCACTAGGACCTGGAGCGCCTGGACTCGCGTCCTCAGAAGTAGATGCCAGCATGGCCGCCCGCATCCATCCGTCTCAGTGCCCACGCTACGTTCTTGTGCCCCAGCTGGCCACGGGTGTCCGTAAGTTCTGGAGCCCCTGTGGCGTGAGACCAGCTCCCTCTTCGAGGAGCAGACCCTTCAGCTTGTCTCACATCCACAGATCGTGACCCTCGGCCTCTAGCATCTGAGCTTCTCTGCGCGAGACGAACTGGGTAAGGCTCTCCTTCGAGGCCCGATTCGCTTCGTAGAACGCCTTGCGCCCTGCTCTGCGAAAGTCGTCTCCTTCCCTCTGTCCGGAGATTCTGTCCATCCTGTCGAGGAAGGTCTTCAGCAAATCGTCTGAAGTCCACTGGTGTTCAGAGATGTCCTCGAACTGAAACTGGAACTTCCAAGAGAACAACTTCAACACTTTCTCTGATCGTCGCCACGGCTGCACGTTCGTGTTCTTGTCCCATCGCTGCGCAACTCGCTTCCATTGTCTGTAGAATGACCAGCCTGGCCAGGACGGTGGGTCACTGTAGTCCCCGCGGCCTCCCCAGCTGCTGCCTGCGGCGCCCGCGCCGCTGGACCACCAGCCCTGGCGGTCCCAAGGGCCGTTCTGCCAGCTGTCCCAGCCGTCCTGCCAGCCTTGCTGCCAGCCCTTGCCGTCGTCGACGGCCTTCTTGGCCCAGGGGTCAGCGCCCGTCTCTGACCATGGGTCTGCTGACGCCTCCGGCTCGGGAGCCGCCCCAGGCTGCATAGTGTCCTTCACTATGTCTGCCACTAGCTCCCGCAGTGCCGCTGGCGTCAGCCCTGCTATCGTTGTGGCGCCGTCGGCTCCGGCCGTTGCCGCCGCAGCTGCGCTGGCAGCGGACTCGCCGGCGCCTCCTGGTGCCGCCTCTCTCTCCTCTACGCCTGCCTCGGCAGGCATGGTGCCATGGATCCGCACCGCCCGCTCGCAATAGAGCGGGGCCGCCGGAGGGCGCGCGAGCGCAGGGATCACGGCTGCTGCGCCGCGCCGCCCGCACCCATGGCTTCTCCGGCTGACCCCGCTCCGCTACCAACTGTTGCAGCAGCAGAAGGTGTGGGCGCCTTTTCCCTTGAGCCCAACACACGACGGAAAGTCACCTCAGGGTCAGAGATCTAAATGACAAACTCCCGGGGTCCCTAACCGGGGTTGTCCTGGGGCTAAACCTGAAACGGGAAAATTGGGAGACCAGTCGCAACCATCCAGGAGGTCTCCGGATGTTCCCCCAGAGGGCCCTGGAGGGGCCCACGACGAGCCAAGGGCGTTAAACATCCCCCTCCTCCTCCTCGATAAAGAGGTGGGCCAAGCGACCAGCCAGAAGAAGTAAGTCCGTGCCTTCTCGCCGTTGATTCCTTGGAGAATATCCGAAGGCCCCCCTCCCAGCGCGGGCTCCTGTCGGATCGGCACTCGAGCACGCCCGAGTCGAAGGAGTCGGAGGTCTGTCCTCGCCACCGTCTCCGCGCACTCCGGGGAGAGGGAGGGCGCATCCTGACGACCGCTCGGGATGATGCCAGATGCCGCTCCAAGTACTCCGAGTTTCTTCATAAGCGTCGGAGGGGCGTCACCCCCGCCGACAGCCCCGCAACGACCCCCATCGCGAGCAGCCACCGCGCACCGAAGGCGCTCCGACCCCCGTCGCGGCGCGACGACGGGGCGAGTTGACCCCCGTCGGGGGGGTACCCCCCGCGCTTCTTAAGAAACCCAGAGTAGATAGGCGGCGAGGCCATGGGGGAAGTGAGAGGGGGCAGGTCTTCTCAGAAGGCGGCAGGGCTTCGCAGAAGCCCTCTGGCCTTCTGAGATGCCCTTTGTGCCTTCGGAGAATGCTCAGAAACCTTTTCAGACGGCCAGCTTCCGAACCTTCTGAGAAGGTCCGCCCCTCCCACTTCCCCCTGGGCTCGCCGCCGAGTAGAGCCGACCGATGCGGTCAACCTCTCTGGCCGCTGGGACGCTGGCCGAGACGGGCCGCTGCCATCTGCAAAGTCTCTCGGCGAGAGCTGGCTCCCTGCAGGAGCACCCGACCCGCGTGGCCAGACTTCCCCCAGGGTCGCCACAGAACGGCCGTGGATGAGCCTGCACGGGCTCTCCCTCTCTCCCAACCGCTCCCTCTCTGCCCACTGCTCTGCCCCCCCGCCCCCGCCGTCCCCCCGCCCCCCCCCGCCCCCGCCCTCCCCCTTCGCCCTCCCATCCCCCCATCCTCTTATAGCAGGCGCGTCGCATGAGAAACACTGGCCTTCTCATCCCCCGGTGGCTCTGGGGGCCTGCAGGAGCTCTGGGGCACCTCAGGGCCCTCAAGGGTCGACGAAGAGTGTGCTCCAATATCTCTTACGGCCAAATTTATTATCGTACGTGTCTACTGCACCTCCCCCTCCAGTGTGTGCTCCAATATTTCTTACGGCCAGATGTCTTATCGCACGTGCCCACTACACCTCCCCATCCCCGTCCTCCCTGAGCCAGCGCTACGTCGACAGGGCAGTCGCGCGTTCCTCCCCCCGAGGCTGGGCAAGGGGTGGGCGAGCCGCGCCCAGGAGGTGGAGGTGGAGAACCTCTGTGGCGGAGTTCCTCGGGCACTCGCTGCGCAAGTATGCGGTCGGGAACTTCTGCTTCGCGTGTCGCGGCGGTGGCCCCAGCGACACGCTAAATGTCTTGGAAGCTGATAACGTGTCGCCGCTTATCCCCTGCCCTCCTGTGATGTTGGGTCATTGTTTTCTCTCCGCAACGTCGTGCGTCTCACCTCCGGCCTCCCTCCCCTTGCCTCCTCTCTCTCCTCTCCTCTCCTTCCTGCCGCTGCATCTTGCCCTTCGCAAAGACCGTGCCTCATTCGCCACCGCGCCTTCAGGCACGGAATGGGCGTGTCCTCAGGTTCTTTGTTGTCGTCTTCAGTCCTCTTGTTTACGGCATCTTAAGGGGCCCAGAGCCCAGTGGGCCTAATCTCCTGAAGTCCAGGGTGGCTTGTCGCGTGACTTGTTTGTTCCGAGACAGGCCCCGAATCGCCGAAAGATCGGTTCAAGACGCCCAAGACGGCCTCCAGACGGCCCGAGAGGCTTCCAAGACGCTCCAAGAGGCCTTCAAGAGGCCTCTCAAGAGAGCCCCAAGAGGTAGAATCCATTGAGGTTTTGAACAGACTTTGGCGTTCTCGCCTTTTCGGCTTCCAGCCTCTCCGAGACTGCCCAAGGGGCGCACAAGGTGGCACCGAGACGTCCCAAGATACCTCCAATAGGGCCCCCAAAGCGGTCCAAGAGGGCCCGAAGACGACCCAAGACGGCGTCCAAGAAGGCCTAAGAGGCTCCCAAGACGGCTCCAAGAGAGGGCCCAGGCGGCGGGCCCGAACGGACATTTCGAGCCCTCGGCCCCAAGAAGCACCCAGGAGTTCCCCCAATAAGCTCCTAAGAGGGCTCCAAGATGCACCCGAGTGGCTCCCAAGAGGCACCAAAGCTGCTCCCAAGAGGCCTCCGAGAGCGCTCCGAAGAGACCCCAACAATCACCCCTGAGGACTCTGACCCACAATCTAGGCACGGTGGCGGATTGGGCCGAAGGACATTACACAGTAAACTCCATTCACGGCCTCAGTTGGCAAATACCCAGCGCGCTTGCTCCGTAGCCCCCCATCCACACTGCCCCGCGGCGCGCCGTCCATGAACAGAGGGCCACGTCCTGCACTGCACGCGGCTGCATACGTTAGACCCTTAGTCAGGCTAAGTTTGTTCAGCCTTCATTCGGGAGAGAAAGGGGGCGACAAAGAGTTTGCAAGCACCTGACATTCAAAATGCACCTCAGCAAACACAATGTGGGGAATCGCATTGCCACGGACCGAGCGCGACATATTCTGGGTACGCATCTCCACTCCGACTTCGTCGCCCACTCTCCTCTTACGAATGAACGAGCGGCCAGAAATCAGCTCCCCCGTGCACTTGCATCTCCCAGCTCACATCTAGGCCCCCCGCTATGCGATGCTGGTCACGCTCGCAATCGTCCGACTGCTACACCCGCGCCCTGGCTCCCAGAATCTAGCGATGGGAATGTGCCCGGTGCTTGGCCTAGCATCTCGCTCGTGTGCTTACCGCAATCCTCCACACTCTGACCCTTCCCAACCAACCAACCTGTCTGCTCTGCCGTCGCCTCCCGCGTTCCTGTGACCCGCTCTGGGAAACCTGGAATCCAAACATATTGACACCTCTTGATGGGACCTCTTTGGCTTCCGCCGCCATCTGCTGGCGGAGCCCCTCACCTTTTGCTTCCGATGGCTTCCGCCGCCCAACCGCCGAGGAAGTGAGGACAACCCCATCGATCCCTCGAAAGCGAGGCCCTTTCTGGAGCGCCCCATCTGCTCTTCCGTCGCCACCCGCGTTCCCAACCACGAACGACCGACATATCATCGTCCTGCTCCCTGCCCCGCCCTCCAGACTGGGTCATCGCCTTCGATCCGCCATTCTTATCCTGCGCACCCCCTATGAGCGCACATGCTGTCATTGCTGCCCCCCCTTAGCTCACATGTGGCCTAACAGCAAAGGCACTGGGACCAACTATGAACTTTGCTTCCAGGACGTGATCGGGAAAACGGGTGCAACATCGAGGGCAAACATGGTCTCATTACACATATATTCCCCGAGCTTTCAACAGCACCATGCACAAGATGCAAACCAAACAACGTTCCATGCATAGAGTACGTATTATCATGGTCGCAAGCATCTCTGAAACAATTCAGACCGAACACGTCAAGTTCATGAGACCTCGCACACATAACACACACACGCACCGCAGACAGAAACCTACATGATCCAAACATAGCATGCGTGCGCAAACATACCAGAATCACATAAACCAACGTCGACCCTTCTTATTTGTATTAGGTTCAGCAGCTGAAGGTTGATTCACTTTCGCTACTTGTGCTTGCACCATTTGTTATGAATTGGTTATCTACCCCTTCTGTTTGGCGTGCCATTGGATGTCGCTTCCTCGTGATGCTCTACATCAGTTTGTTGCAAAGTGGGCGATGCTATTGGTTTCTGTTGTGCTTCTGCGCGGACGAATCAGTGCAGCAAAAAAGCAACCGAGGCGCGGAAGCGCGTAGCTTGAAGTAGAGGCGCAGTCACATGGGCGGCGATGGTGCCTCCAGTATTTCGGGAGAAAACGATGGCGAGGGACCAAAGACGGACATAACCATAACAATCTGGCGTTTCTTCCTGTATGCCGTCCTAATCAGCCTGAACGGTCGCAAAAACGGATTCGGCCACCCCGGTTGCGGCAAAGCTTCCCGCGCCTTGCAGCGGACTCGTAGAGTTTCGCATCCCCTCTGCTACGACACGATGGTTCAGATGGCAATCTTAGAATCAACGAAGGCCTCCAGCCTCGAGAAACGCAGACAGCAGCGCAGAACGATCAACCACATGGATGTAGTTAGTGTAGAGTAATAACAAGCGGGATAAGCACAACCTCTTCGGAGCTCTGGAAGTTTACGTGTATGCATGTTTTCTCCTTCGAGGTTGGGATTGTCTCCCCTCTCTTATTGCACCTCCGCCCCTTTCAGGTGGCTGGGCAGTCAGCGAGGGTTGACGATGATGAGGAGGCGGCGGCGGAGGACGATACGACTTCGCGCGCAAGAGGGGAGGAGGAGGAGGAGGAGGAGGAGGAGGAGGAGGAGGAGGAGGAGGAGGAGGAGGAGGAGGAGGAGGAGGAGGAGGAGGAGGAGGAGGAGGAGGAGGAGGCGGCGAAGGAGGAGGAGAATGTCTAGGTCAACTCTTTATCCCGGGTCAATCTTTGCAGGCCCTGGGGCCCGAGAGCGGGCCTCCAGAAGCCGACTATGGCGAAGACCTTCGTCCAGCCCCGGTGCTCGAATGAGCATCGCTAATCTGGCCCCTATCCCCAACGGCCTTGCCGGGGCCCCACTGGCCGATATACCCCCCTCGATGAGGATACAAGCCGTGTCCTTCGGGTTTCGAAGGGTGTAGCCCCGACTGGGGTGCTGAGATGGTGGGGGCCTGGGGGTTTGGATGGGGATGGGGATGGGGATGAAGGGTCAATGGTCAATTCAACGATCTGATGGTGACCCTCCTCCCTCCTGGCCCTTCCCCGGGGGGACCCGAGTGGGCCCCCACCCCCATCGTACAGGGGGACCCCCAGGCTGTGGGGTTCAAGTCCAGCGTCTCGCTGCCACTGTAGCCTGGGCCGATCCCTCGTTGGGGCCTGGCCCTTTCTCCCTCGTTGGGCCCCCTTTCTCCCCGCGCCTCATCGTTCAGCAGCGCCTGCGCCCGCTGCATGCGGGAAATCGACTGGGAGCGCGTCCGGCCACCGCTGGCGCGTCCCCTGCGGCGCGACGACCTCAGAGGTCCCCCCCTGTCCACGCAGATCCTCCGCCTGCTCCTCCTGCTGCACCTTCTCCCTCCTAGTCCTGGCGACGTCGACGCGTTCCGAGGACTTTTTTTGGTCGTCCTGTTTTTCTTTCATTTCTTTTGCTCTCTGACGGCCCGCATGCCCGACCGCGGCCCCCAAATGCCGAACGTGCAATGCACCGCCACTCTGACTCTTTTTTCAGTGCGTCCCCAAACCCAAAACATCCGATGCCTCGATTTTTCAGTACGGTCCCTCCCAGGAGTCCCGACCCCTCTCCCCAGGGCTGGCTCTTCCTCCCGACCTGCTTTTTGACTGTCCCGAAGCCCAGCCAGGGCCCCTGGAGGCCGAAAACCGCCAAACGCCTCGCGTCGTGATTTCTCTCAAGACGCGAGCATGTCTGTGACCCCTCCTCCTCGCTGCTTCAATATCGCCAGATCTTCTGCTCGAGCGAGCGGGCGAGTGAGGGGGCGTGCGGGCTGGGGGAGGCGAGCGAGCGAGCAGACCCCTCGCTCGCTCGCTCGCCCGAACTAGCGAGCGAGCGAGGGGGGGGGGGCGGGCGAGAGAGCGGGGGGGGACCGACCTCTCCTCGCTCGATCGCCCGCCCCCGGCGAGTGGGCTCGTTTGCTCGCGCGCTCGCTCGAGCGAGCGGGGGGGGGGGCGGCGTGCCCCGCCGGAACTTCTGCATGCCCGATCGCCCCCATCCCCCCGAGCTTGACTGGGCATGCGGGAATGGCGCATGCTCGCTCGCCTCCCCCCCGAGCGCGATTGGGCATGCCCCTGCCCCATCGGGAATGGTGCATGCCCGATCGCCCCTTCCCTCCTCCCCGAGCGCAAACGGACATACCCAAGCGGGAATGGCGCGATTGGGCATGATCCATCGGGCATGGCGCATGCCCGATCGCCCGCCCCCCCCGCCACCTGAACGTGATTTGGTATGCCCCCCCCCCCTCGGAAATGGTGCATGCCCGATTGCCCTCCCTTCCCCGAGCGCGATTGGGCATATCCCATCAGGAATGGCGCGTGCCAGATCGCCGCCCCTGAGCGTGATCGGGCATGGCCCATCGGAGATGGTGCATGCCCCATCGCTTTCCCCCCCTTCTCGAGCGTGATTTGGGCATGCTCATCGGGAATGGCGCGTGCCCGATCCCCCCCCCCCTCCCGCTCCCTCTTCCTGCGCGATTTGGCAGTCCCCATCGGGAATGGCGCGCGCTTGATCGCCACCTCGCCCATCTCCCCCGCTCTCCCCGAGCGCGATTGGGCATGTCCAGCCTGGAATGGTGCAGGCCCCATAGCCCTCCCGATCGCCCCCCCCCCCCCCCTCCCGCGCGCGATTGGGCATGCCCCAGCAGGAGTGTTGGATGCCCGATCGCGTTCCTCGCCGTCTTCCCGAGCGCGATGAGGCATACCCCATCGGGAATGGCGCCTGCCCGATCGTCCCCTCCCCCGCTCCTCCCCTCCTCCCCCGAGCGCGATTGGGCGTGCCCAATCGGGAACAGTGTATGCCCAATCGCCCCCCCCCCCCCTCCTCCCCGACCGAAAGCGATTGGGCGTGCCCGATTCCCCCGCCCCTCCCCTCCCCCCCCTCCACCCGAACTTGGATTGGGCATGCCCCATCGGAATGGTGCATGCCCGATCGCCCCGCCCCCCCCCTTTCCCAACGTGATAGGGCATGTACCCTATCGGGAATGGTGCGTGCCCCTGCCCTCCACGAGCGCCTTTGGGGGGAAGCCCCATCGTCCATTGCGCATGCCCGATCCCCCCCCCCTCTCTCCCTCTGCCTGAGCGCGATTGGGCATGACATCTGGACGGGCGCGTGCCCCATCGCACCCTACCCCACCCCTTTCGAGCGCGGTTGGGCATGCCCCATCGTCGGAAATGGTACATGGCAGATCGCCCCCCCTCCCCCTGAGCGCGACTGGGCATGCCCTATCAAGAATGGCGTATGCCCGATGGACCCCCTCCCGGGGAGGGAAGCTCTCGATCGCGCGCTCGCTCGATAGGTCGCTCGAGCGAGCGAGCGAACGAGGGTCCGAAGGTTCATAATGCCATCCAATTACGATCTCCGGCTGCGCCGTGTGACGCGTGAAGCGCGACTTGCTTGGAACTCTCAACCTTATATCGCGACGAGTTTCTTCGGTACGTACGGAAATGAGCCAGAGCCTCTCAGCGCAACCGCTGACAGGGGAAACTCGAAACTGTGCTGGCAGAAGGCGGTGGAGCACAGGCAGGCAAGCCAACGTTCTGATAATGATGAGTCGGCTGCTGCTGAAACGCCAGGCACTCACTTAAGCACAACGCGCATCTAGCTGGTAGATCGCGTAATCCGTCATCCGCTGATTCGTGTTGCCCGACGAGGTGAGTTTGTAAGCTCTGGGGGCGCTTGCGAAGCTGAAGTGCGCGCGGACGAACTGAGTTGAGTAGGTGGCCCCGCGCGCCTGAAGGTCCGCCATGGTGGGAAATGACAGCGGGGCTCCTTTGCACAACCCCGTCGAATGAAGCTGTGTGTAGGTCACCGGGGTGGGCGCAGGCGTCGGGGCCCCAGGCGCGACGGTGGGAGCTGGGGTCATTGCTGACTGGTAGATGGTGAAGACTGTCTCGAACCGGTTGACACTGCTGCAGGTGTTACTCAGCGTGTGCTCCGTCCAAGAGCGACTGGCCGCCGCTCGACTGCGCGCACAAGCTGCCGCGCCCGTCGACGGTTAGTCCGGAACTGTCCGTCGCTCCTGCTGCCTGCGCGCGCGCGCCTTGAGAAGGAGGGATCAGAAGACGAGGGAGGAGGTTCCCGGAGTCCCGTGAGCGAGCGAGCAAGAGAGCGAACGCCAAATCCGCGCGCGCGCGCCGCGTGGGCGCCCGCCTCGCGCGCCGGTTAGGGCGTGACGGTGGGGGCCGTAGCCTCGAGAGGTGCCTCTGGAGGTATCGAGGTGTACCACAATTGTCAAAGCGTAAAAGCGAGCCTCAATCTTCGAACATCGATCCTTGAGGAGGAGCAGGAGGAGGAGGAGGAGGAGGAGGAGGAGGAGGAGGAGGAGGAGGAGGAGGAGGAGACAGAAAAGACAGGAGGATGAGGAGGATGGAGGGAGAGAGGGAGGGATAGCGAGCAAGACAGAGGTAAGGATGATGTTGATGATAATGGTTATGATGATGCCGAGGATGAGGAAGAGGAACATGAGGAGAGGGCCCCAGAAGTCCCTGGAGGCCTCTGGGTGCACCAAGAAGACTCTGGAGGCAAGAGCATAGGGAACCGCACAAGTAGGCCTCGAACTTCGAACCTCGAGGAGGCTGCACGCGGAGGCCCGATCGCGGTCGATCGGCGGATCGGCTGGGCCAGCCCGCCGCCGCAACTGTGGTGGCGGTCGTCGCCATCGTCGTCGTCGTTGTCGTCGTCGTCACTGTTGTTGTTGCCGTCGTGGTAGTGGTCGTGGTCGTGGTCGTGGTCGAGGTGGTGGTCGTCGTGTTCGTGGTCGTGGTCGTGGTGGTTCTGGTGGTGGTGGTGTGGAGGCCGTCGTGGTGGTCGTCGTGGTGGTGGCCGTCGTGGTGGTCGTCGTGGTCGTCGGGTGCCCGATCCGGCCCGGATCGGCGGATCCGGGCCCGCCCGAGGGCGGGGCGGGCTGCTCTGATTGGGCATCTCGCCGCGCGGTGGGGGGCCGCGGGGGCCTTCTATTCGGCCTCCGCCAGAGCTGGCGGGATCCAGGCTGAGGCGGAGAGGGCGCGAGGATGGAAGCAAGGAAGCTGCCAAAAGGGCAGCGACCTGGGGGGAGGGGACATTGCGGCAACGCACGAGGGTGCACCAAGCGCGGACGGTGACGGACCACGCTGGGTCGACAAGTACGGCGCAACCGTATGAAACTATACACACACGCACACACACGCACACACGCACTTGCATGTATGCGCGCAACTACATACATATTTACATACACGCCAAAACAATTGATGGAATAATGAGCGTTCGAGAAAATCCCACCAGCCCTCTGGGCGTAGGTGGTCTAGAGAGCTTTCTCTTCTGACCCTGTTCTTCCCCTTCGAGGAAGGGTTTATCATTGCTCTCTATTAATATACACCCCCTCCCCCAGGCGACCGGCAGCCAAGCAGTAACAATGCTGACCCTATGCTCCCCAGCCCCCAACCATCCCTGTCAAGAACAATACAAAACACACTCTGCCTCCAAATTCTGAGCCTGCGCAGACAGCCCGATGCGGGCTCCCCCCACCATCCCTGTCACAAAACAATGCAAAACACACTTTGGGGCAACGTCTTGAATCATGTTCGTGAAACCCACGGGCACTTTGAATTGTTTTTTGACAGGGACGGTGGGGGTTTTAGCATATTGCCGTTGTGCGCAGGGCCACTATCTCTGTCAAAACAATACAGAATACACCTCGCGGCCAAATCCGCCGACCCCTTGGGGTCACGGCGTGTGAGATGCTTCCCCCTCCCCAAACCCCTCCCCCGGGGGCCTGGTCCGGCTGGTTTGGAGGGGGGGGGGCAAATCCATCATCCGCACACTTGGAGCCTCAGAAGGCCCCAAAACGGGCCAAAAAAGTTCCAAAGGTTCCCGGAACGGTCCAAGAGATCTACGAATCGACGAAAGATCGCCCCCAAACGCCGAAGATTGCCTCCACACGGCTCCATAAGTCCCCAAGACGTTTGAAACAATATCACGAGGCGGCCCTCCAGAAGCAAAAATCGTCCCATTCCCTAGGCAAAACGTACATTTCCACCACATTCGCCCCTTCGTCTTCCACGCGGCGCAAAACGGCCCAAGAAGCCTCCAAGATCGACCCTCGCCAGCCCTAGAGGCTCCCAAAAAGGCTCCAAAACGGCGTCCCGGCGATCCACGAAGGCCCCAGAAACGATAACAACGGCTTAGGAAAGCCGCAGGACAGTCCCAAAAGGGCTCCAAAACGGGGCAAGAGGGCCCCCACAGGCTGTCCAGACGGCCCACGCGGGGACGATTCGGTCCAAACCACCCAAGATCGCCGCCAGACGGCCCCGTGGGTGTCCAAGACGTTTGAAAACGCGACCACGAAGCGCTCCAAGAAGGCCTCCACAAGCAAAAACCGTCCCATTCCCTAGGTAAAACGTGCATTTTCAGCACATTCGCTTCCTGGGCTTTCACGAGGCCCACAACGGCCCAATAAACCTCCAAGATCGACCCCCGTCACCCGAAGAGGCTCCCAAGAAGGCTCCAATATGGCTTGCAGGCGATCCACGAAGGCTCTAGAAACCACAACAACGGCCCAGGAAAGCCGCAGGACCGTCCCAAGAAGGCTTCAAAACGGACCAAGAGGGCTCTCAAAGGCTGTCCGGACGGCCCACGCCGGGGACGATTCTGTCCAAACCGCCCAAGATTGCCTCCAGACAGCCCCATGGGCGTCCAAGACGTTTGCATACGCGACCACGAGGCGCTCAAAGCAGGCCTCCAGAAGCAAAAACCGTCCCATTCACTAGGTAAAACGTACATTTTCAGCACATTCGCTTCTTGGGCTTTCACGAGGCCCACAACGGCCCAATAAACCTCCAAGATCGACCTCTGGCACCCCAAGAGACTCTCCAAAAGGCTCCACGACGGCCTCCGGGCGCACCACGAAGGCCCCAGAAACCATAGCAACGGCCCGGGGGAACGGCAGGACGATCCTAAGAGGGCTCCAAAACGTGTCTAGAGGGGCCTCACAGGCTGTCCGGACAGGCCACGCGGTGGACGATTGCTGTCGCCCCAAGGGGTCGGCGGTGTGGCGTAAGCCAATGAATCTGGATCGTGCGCGGCCACCCCGCGGTCACTGTCAAGTGGTTTTTGACAGGAACGGCGGGGGTGCAGGCCCACCAGACACCATGATGGGCATTGGTCTTCGACCTGGATGGTGGGGGCCGGCATGTTTCCCGATGAGTGCTGTCACGTGCGCAGGCGCACCTGACACACTCTGCACGTGCGCCGAACGTGGTGTACCTGGCGCGGCTGGGAGTACGCGGCACACCTGGCGCACGTGGAGCACGTAGCGCATCTGGCGCACCAGGCGTGCCTGGCACGCTAGGGCCCCAGGGGTGCCTGGCGCGCGTGGCGCGCCTGGCACGCGTGGCGCACCTAGCCCCAGCGTCGTGCACATGGGGTCGGTCTTGTTCCCCAGTAGCTGTCAATCTAAAGACGACTGTGAACATGCTGAGGCTCGGGTGTTACTTATGTGTTGGGAGGGCGGGTGGGAGTGTGCTAGACGGCTTGCTATCTAGGAGGGTGTCTTGACCACTGCCCCAACCCCCTCCCCTGGACCTGGAGAGGGGGTTTCGCGACGCGTTGGAACGACCAAGATGGCCCAAGACAGCTCCAAGAACGCCTCCCCCAGAGAGCCTAAAGATGACCTCCAAGATGGCTCCAGATAGCCGAATCCCAAGATGACTCCCCAGATGCTCCAAGAGGCCCCAAGAACGCTCCAAGACGGCCCCAGGTGGCCACGGAACCTCCCCAGGAAGCCGCCAAGAGGCCGAAGACCTCCAAAAACCTTGGGGACAACAGTGAATGTTGCCTTCTCGTCTTTTCGCTTCCGGTGACCTCCCGAGGCCTCAAGACAACTCCGAGAGGGCCCATGAGGGCCCGCAGAGAGGCCCAAGAGAACCCCATTCTTTTCCAAGAGTGCCCAAAAGCGCCCCAAAAGTGGCCCGCGATGCGATTTTTCGGGCCCCCGAGGGGGGGTCGTAATTAGAGCCCCTGCCCTTGTTTGATCGATCTCCTCCAATATGGCTTCAGGAGCACTCCCAAGGCTCCCAAGAGCGCCCCAAGATGGCCCCACGAGGCGCCCAGGAGGCCCCAAGAGGCTTCCAAAAGGCTCTCAAAAGACCCCCAAGAGACCCCAAGGGCCTCCCCGAAACACCCAAGACGCTCCAGAAAACCCCGGGTACCGCCAAGCGGCCCCTAAGACGCCCCAGGAGGCCCCAACAAGCTTACAAGAGACGTCCGAGGAGATTCTGAGAGGCAACTCGCCTGGGTATCGTTTCTGGATGGGCTGGTGGGGATTTTCTGGTCAACGGGCTCGCGAGGCGGGTCGAAAGCCGTCCGAACACTAGTCGGGCCGCGACTAGACAGCAGGAAAAGAAAGGCAAGCGAAGCGAGCGCGGGCAGCCACTCAGAAAACCAGAACCGATACTCCCAAACACGGTGGCGTTGGAAATCCCGGTGGCAACCAGCAAGTAAGCGCAGCCGAAAAGGCGCGGCGGCGCGATCATAAACACACTGGTGGGGATATTTTTGGTCTGCGGACTCGCGAAGCAAGTCGGAAGCCGTCCGATCACTAGCCAGGCCGCGACTAGGCAGCAAGAAAAAAGTGGGGCAAGCGAAGCGAACGCGCGGGCAGCCACTCAGAAGGAGCACCAAGGGCGGCACTCCCAACCCGGTGGCGTGGAAATCCCGGTGGCGACCATCAAGTAGGCGCAGCCAAAATGGCGCGGCGGCGCGACCATGAACGCGCAGAGGTCGAGCACCCGTTGTGAATCGGCATAGGGCCCGACGAAAACGAGCAGGTCTGACAGGCACTCCAGGGCGACGTCCGTGCCGTATATGACACGACAGCGTCGTGTCGGCGCCGGAGTGAAGAGGGGGCAGCCTCGTCACAGACAGGACTGCAAACGGCAGATCCTCTGGTATGTACACCCGGTGGCACAGGTCGAAAGCGAAGTCCATGTAGGAGAAAGCAACCGACGGGCGCCCAGAGCCGCACATGCCGAAATCCTTGCACCGAAGAAGACGGCACCGTAGCAAGACCCCACGGAACCCAAACGGTCACCAGTGGAGGCTGACACCAAGCAGGAATAGGCCAGGGGCCACCTAGCCGCCAATTTCCAATGTGGTCGCGCATGGAATTCGAAGCGAGACCTCGCGGAACCCTCCCGGTCACCAGTGGAGGCCGACACCAGACAGGAGCAGGTCAGGGGCCACCTGACCGTCCGATCCCAGCGTGAACCTTGCATGGAATTCAGGCTGTCAGAGCACCGTCGGACAGTAGTGTTGGCGGGGGCCCCAGCCGCGTGGGATAAACCCGGTGAAACGAGGGAGAGGAGGGGAAGTGCGCGCCAGGCAAGGTAGGCAACCCGTTGTGGCAGCTAACCGCTGCGGCAAAAAGAAGCAGGAGACGCCGGCATCGGAGCCCGCTGAACCCTTTCGGCCATCAGCAAGGGGGGGGGCGCCGGCTGAAGGCAGCCAGTAGGCGCCGCGCCACCCAGTCCCGGTGTGATTACATGATCCCAGTGACGCAGGAGAGGGAGAGTCAGCTAACCGCTGAAGCAAAAGGAGAAGAGGGAGGAGAGCTCGCCATGACCCTGTGTGCACTGACGCGCGCGCCAGGCGCTCGGTATCGAAGCCCGCCGCAGTAAACCCGCCACTGGCACCAGTTGCCATTGTTCTTCGCGCGAAATCCCGGGGAAAACTGGGCTCTTTCGGCAGCGAAATAGCGTGCAGTCACGGATGGTAAAATCCTCCGTTGAGCTATCACTCCATCCCATATGCACCAGCGGGTGTAGGCAATGCATGCTTTTTTGTTTAGCCACGCACTAGTCACTGCAAGAGCCCTCGGGGAGGCGCAGTCGAGGAAACATTCCGGGCGCTCTTCAATGGGGCGCTTGGCAGGGGCAATCGCGGTGGGCTGCCAGTCTGATGCCAACATTGAGCCGCAGTGACTGCGAGGGAGGCAGAAGGGAAGGGAGAGCAGGGGAACGCCGCTAACCGCCGCAAGCACACGAGAGCGAGTTAGCAGTGTAGTCGCATGGCGCACCACATACCCGGTGTGATGACAGAGCCGTATCTCGTTG